TAGGAGTTTGACAATCAAGGTAACCGGTGTCTTTGGCTTAGATATTAAAACCTGTTACATGCAGTAATGTCAACTAATGCTGCTCTTCTATCAGCAGACACTGTGGTGAAAGAGACCTTTCCAGAAAGTTGTTGATCTGATTTGATTCATTAAGGTTTAAATTTATTTCTCTGTGATGTATGGGTCTCAACTCTGGATTAGTACAGATTAGGGCAGTTTAAGGATCATGTGAGAAAACGGGACAGTATCCTCAGGGCTATATTTTAGAACAGGAAGTCTCCTGAAGGCAACTTGATGTTGTCAGTTCTTCCACTCCAGAATTCTGGTTATATTTCTCTTTGCCTGATCAGGAGCTTTGATCTGCTTTTGCCTGGGCTCACTTTCTGCCCAGAATCATCTGTAAGGTAAAACAAGATACAGCAATAGTAATCCTGTTGGACAAGGCAAGATTGTACAAAAAGCACCAGAATGATACATTATTTCCAGATATTCTTCAATCCTGAATGTATGGGCTTCGTTCACTCTCTTGCATGGATGCTGCAGTGGCTTCTGGGATGAGCACCTTTACTAGTAAGTAAGTCTCTAGTAAGAAATGTCCAAGCTACTCATAGGTGTATCTTGCATCAGCTTTCCTATGCGGTTGATCAGACACCTTTTCAAGCTACTGTACATGCTGAAGCAGGTATTCCAGGATGCCAGGGTCTGGACTTAACTCAGGCTTCACCTTTGTCATCTTTGCCCTTCACAAATAGCAAATTCCTCAGTGAGATGGGAATCTTACCAATTCACAGTTTCTAAAGGGTTTATTTGTGATTCAGTGTTCAAGGTGGGGACTTGCTCAGCACAGCTAAAGATGTATGTAATTCAGGTATGTGTCTTCTGAGTACAGTTTTGGCATTTTTGTGGTACCAATATGGGGCACAAAATTGACTTGGGGGATGTTCTGGCATGTTGAAAATGAGTGTACACTTGTGTGATTCAATTAGAAGATGACTTTTTATTTTATTTGTGCCGATAAATTACTTAAGTATGAATTTTATAGTTGGGTTTATCTTTGGAGAATGAACAGAAATTCTGACATGCATCATTTCTCTCTTTGAGATGGTATAGTTCAGGCCTCTGATATGCTCCTTCTCTTTTCTTCTGAGGGGTAATAGAAAATCTGACCGTATGAGAATCAACAAAAATCTGCTTAAATTGGTCTCTTTGTATTTTGAAGTTTGAGCATAAGGTGTATTTTTTTCAGGGCGATATTCAGAATTATTAATATTGATTGTGGTAAAGTTTTGTATGAAGGAATTTTAAAATCTCTGTGTACTATTTATTGGACTAACGTACTGCATTTACATACGTTTTGGAGTTTTCAGGTGAGAAGTCAAAGATCAAATACATTTAGCAGGAGGTTCTCCTATTCCCAGACAACTGCGAATAAAATCAGTAGTGGAGTTGTTACTTTATCTGTGTTATTTCCCCACTTACAGACAAAGGGAGGTACTCAAATTAGCACCATTTTAGGAATCATGTAGGATCCTTTTGTTTAATATTGTACCAGTCATTCACTGATATACAGCAGGACCTGAGGGGACTTCGGCCCCCCATTCACTAGTATGGTTTAACGTAACGTGCATGTTCCAGGTCATGCACTGCAAGAGGGACCCTGTGGCTGCACAGTATCCCAATCCAGATCATAACTGCATCTGGAATTGTAAGCTAACTTCAGTAGACACTGGTAGGTCTTGTAGTTGGTAATACAGGTAATGTAGTATTTGTACTCAATACTGCTATGAAAAGTTCATAGCCTTCCTAGCTTCTTTTTTATTTTATTTTTTTTTTTTCTTACCTCTTCCATGTTTAAGGGGAAAACTTTATTTTACTTAGTTGGGAGCAATAAGCATTGGTGAAAGTGTATTCTGAGTTGGGGTTTTCTTGGTAGTCTGATTTTTCAAAGACACTGTCAAACATTACTATCTTTAAAGAACCAGTTATTTTACAGGAATTTTCATTAAACATTGCATCTAGATTGTTGATTGAAGAAGTCTGTTTCACAAAATTTGGTGGATAACATTAAAGACTATCTGCTTTTAATTTTTCCCCTACAAAGTATGTTACAAACCATACTTTCTTATCATTGGCATGCTAAAAAGTGTGCTTGAATTGCAGTTTTAGCTTTGCTCAAATATTGGATTGGGTTTTTAAAAAAAGAAAAATTAAAAGCTGGATAGTATTAAATCTTCCTAATAAGCAAGTCTCTCTTCCACTTAATTTGTGCTTTTGTTGAGGCTAACAAATAATTTGCTGTATAGGTTTTTCTGTACACCATTGATAGAATATATAAGCTTGTCATCCTAGTGTGCTGGAAATGCTACACTCAAATCAAGTGTTCCTTTCTGGTTTTGTATATCCTCACCTGCTCCTCACTGTAAATCATTGAGATGTCAAGAGCAGTGATTAATTAAGCTGCACGTGCAAGTGCTTTTTTTTCACCTGTCAAGTAGGAAGAAAACTTACTATAGTGAATTGTGTGATGCTGTTTAATTCATTTCTTTTTATCCCAAGCTCTGAGGTTTGCAGAAATATTTTAGAGTCTAATTTTCATTAACTTTTCAGTATTGGTAATGTGGCATGATTTGGGAGCCACGACTGTCCCAAATTATACCTCGGGAAGGATTCTATTTAAGGCTCTGGGAACCTAAATAATCGTATTCTCGAGGCTGCATCTGCTTTTATCTCACACTAGTCAAATTACTTTAAACTGGCTTCTTATTTAAACAAACCAATTAATAGTACATAACTATCTATCAATTTCTTATTTATGTGTATGTATTGTAATATATATGTAATTTTATTGGAATCTGAAAAGCTTGGATGTTTTTCACACTCTTTGGGGCAAACAATGAAATTAAATTGTATAGTGATCTTAATCTATTATTAAAAGGTCCTGGAAAGGAAGATTACAAGGTAGATTCAGGTTTTGAATCAGTTTTGCCATTGGTTTAGCAGCGGGTGGGCAGGCAGATGCCTGCTCAGAGTAGAACCTATTGCCATTTTTCACCATTGATAGAGTAGCCTTTCAGAGTCAATGAGCTCTGTCAATGTGAGCTTGTCAAGGCTACAACTTCATAGACCTGAGAGGCGGTTTGAGAGGTCAGCCCTTTTCAGGTTTGCTGTGATGCAAATGAAGTTTAATGCTTAAACAACTATTGGAATTTTTATGTCTGCTCCTTGTTCTTTTTTCTTCACAAAGTCATTGACGAGACATTCAGTGCTTTTTAAATTGGAAGTTGCATTGTGCTAAAGACCTAGTACAGATTTACGGAGGGCTGAAAGCAGTTAGATCATGTTCTTTTCATGGTGCGATTAGAATCAAATCGATTTCCCTACAGCCTTCAGCATTCAGATGGCAATTTTACCAAAGCTTGGGGGCTAGACAAGGGACAAAACGACTGAACTGAATGTTAATTACACTCTGCAGCCTTATTTTCTTTTGATTTGGAGCTGACTGGCAACTAAATTAACAAAAGTGTGACCATAACTGCTGCCCTATTTTCATTTAAAAGGAGAGCAGACTCTAAAAGGCTATCTTTACAAAGAAACAAGTGAGGTCTACTGATTATTGTTAAAGGGCACTGTCTTTAAAAACATAATAATAACAATAACCCCAAAAATACTCAATTCCCGATTGATGTGATAAATTAGTCACTGGCACATCCACCTTGTGATAATTCCTTGACTCGTGCTTTTTTAAAATAAAACATAATAAAAATTCAGTGTAATGATTACTCATAGATAGCAATGAGCTAATTTTTAATCATGTGACCACAGTACATGCTTAGATGTGGTTCCCCACAATGCTTCGGTATTGAACTAGAGAGAAACTGATGTTTGAGAACCAAGATACTAATATTTAGTGGGAAATGAGTAATTTGTTATCTAATTTTTTATGTTACTCAGACGTCCTCACTTCTCATGACAGCTTTTAGTTTGATTTGTTAAGGTTCATTTACAGTACTTGTATTTTGTACTAATAACAGCAAGATGCTTTCTCATCCCTTCCCCTCACCCCTCTCTGCCTTGTAAGGAAGCTGCAGCTGCACTAAGTTGTATTTGATCCTTGTCATTGCTCTGTCCTTTTGCACCTGCAGCTCTGTTGGTCTCATCTCAACACCTGGCACCATGAATTATCCTCTTTTTATTCATAGTCAGTAGCAAATCCCATTTAGAGCTGAGCAGTATATATTCTGGCAGTCAAATGACCATAAATGTCAGTATGTATTTCTCAAATGTAAATATAAGTGAATAATTATATTCAAAATGCTGTGAAACTTTACAGCACAGAATGTCCTTTAATACTGCATAATCTTAAAAAGCTCTGCAAACAGCTTTAAGGATTCTTTATCTGAAGTGTCAAGTGTGGGCAACATAGGCAGTAAAACTTTGCTTTAGAATCCTAAATACTGTGTTTGCTCTTTATACACATCACAGAGTAATAGTTATTTGTGCAATTTACTAGAACTTTCTGCATTTGGTTTTCAGGTTCTAAAATCCTGAAAATAAAAGTAACAAAAAAAATCTTTCGTTTAGATTACCACATTTGTACTTTACCTTCAGCATTGCAAAATAGTTGGCAACATTCGTCAGTTTAGATACTGACCTTCTCAAAAGCAGTGTGTTTAGACCAGTGATACTAGAGGAGCAGTGTTCCTGCTTTTATACTTGCATTGTTTCAAAATGTCTGTGATTTTAAAGTTGTAACTGCTATAAGAACCAGAAAGCATATACATATGAACAGTTCTTCCAGAATGCTTGGAGATACTATTTGGTTGTTGTAAAAAGTTCTGTTCTAGTTACTATTTAATACCAGAGAAGTTTTGATAGTACTACAGACCACCCTGTACTCAGTCACTGTCCTGTACCTCTCTCCCTTTCACACAAAAGCAGCTGCAAAACAAAGTTTTTCTAAAACCAGTCAAGAGTAAAATTCTTTCTCATTTGTCTTCCAGACACGAAGATCGATTGAGAAGTTATTAGAATGGGAAAACAATAGGTTATACCACAAGGTGAGTGCCGCAGGGAGCAGCTTCGTACTGTTGGAGTTTGAATTGCACAGTATGGAAACAGATGCTTTTGTTGAACGAAAAATATGAAAGGTGGACAAATGGGCTAGTCTGTGTGCTGCGATAAAATACAGCTCATTTTTCTTCTTTTTCTTTCCTCCTTGTCTAGCTGTGCTTGCATTGGAGACTAAGCAAAAGGAAATGTGAAACGAATAACATGATGGAATATGTAAGTTAAAGGGCTGTTTTGTGAGTTTCTCTATTAAATGATCATTTATTTTGCTTCTGATCTTATTCTTTTCATGATTATTAATCAGTAAAGGTGTCAGGAGCTTAATCGCCTGAGTGCAAGGATTTTCTACGGTTCACAGATGCATGGTTTCATGTGCAGGACTGATTTATAAAGTTATGAATGACTTGAAAACAAGGCTTCACTGTGTTCTGAAAAATAATAAATTAATTGCCAAGATAAAATAGCTTGAACATGTGCTGATGGAGTGTGAAATTTTGGATGCTGTATAAAGAATAACCACGACTTTGGTTACGCAGCAAGTCAGATATGGCTGTTTTATATAATGCTAATCAAGTCTAAAAGTATGGAAGAAGACCTTTCAACTAAGCTGTTGGAGCTTAAGAAACCTTTAGCCTTTTGAGATTTTAACTGCCCCTTACCTCAACTGTCTTGAAAGTATCTTTATCTCTAAGCTGTGTCACTATAATATTTTAAAGTCAGTCTCTGGAGTTTTAACTTACTCCAATCTTTGGCTGAAACTCCATTAGCTCTTCTTGGAAATACACAGTGAGAATATGCTGTTTAAAATGAATGATGTCCGATGTGGGATTTTGGTTTGTTTAGCTTGCAACCTTCTTGCTCTTTTTTGGTGCTGTTTTTATTTCCATTTTCAAAATATCTTGGAGGTACATAGAACAAGATGAGATTACGCTGCTGAAATGTGAGAAATGTTAGAATTTGCATATTTTTTTAATGATCTAGGAAGTAGGTGATAGGAAGGGTTAACCTTTTAAAAAGAAAGATTCCTTTGAGAAATGCCTACTGTATTAGTTCTAACTTATCTGTGGTCTTTCATTACATGCTACTTTGTTCTTTGAAAAACAATGCTATCTTGCATATAAAAACTTTAAAAGTGATTAAGCAGGTGGAAAAGATATTAAAAGAACCTTTTTTTTTTTTTTTAGTATTCCCCTTTTTCCTGTTTCTAAATTAAATCTTATTTCTAGCCTGAAACATAAGATCTTTAAAATGCTTTTCATAGAATGACTCTACTTGGTTCACTGAACAAGTAGATTTTTTTAACATGTATTCTACACATTTTTTTTTGTCTTAGATCTATGAGATGTGGCTGAAAATGGAATAAAGCAAATTTCATAAAGTGTATTTGAGCTTTACCTAAATGAAGCAGGTTTTTTATTTCACTGAAGATTTTGTTTTCCAACAGGAAGACATTGTCCCATCCAGTGTTTTACAGATTCAATTGAAGAAGACACGTACAATGCTCATTTGTAAACACTATACCCCAGCAACCTTTACAGATTAAAATTCTGTTAAATACAATTTAAAATCAGTTGACCTGTTTACATTAATAATATGTAAGCATGAGGATGTAGTTTCACAGGGTAAAGATCGAAGATTTTATTTTCAGTTTGTGAAATGTTTAATATATTATCTAAGAAGAGAATTTTTACCAAATCTCTCTACCATTTTTTCATTTTCAGTGAACTGATTTGCTGGTCTCTTGCCCCTAATGTTGTGTTTATGATTTAATTTTAAATAATATGTATCTTCACCTTTTTTCCAAAGCAGGTGATTAAATTAGACTCTTGTACCCAAAACTTGGTGCTTTTCCAGCTTGCGGTTCAAAGTCCACTGTTGTAGATGCTAAATTAAATAAATAATAGACTAGATAAAACCACAATAGCCTTACTTCTTTGGCATAAACTCAGCGTTCCAGCTTTAGTTCTTTGCTCCCTTTTTGAAACCTTGTCTGAGTATCAGTAGCCCTGGTATTTCTGAAGCATTCATTGGTTGACTCATGTCAGGGCTCAATGGATTTTGAGCAGTTTGCATTGCTTCTGAATATAAGTCACTTCTGAATATCTCTTAAAAGAAAGTTTATACACCTGATTTTGATATTATTTCAAAACTGTTTGCCTTAGAAATAAAATCAGAGACTTCTTTTCTGACATTCAGTATGCTATCAGAGATAGTAGTTGCTCTATAAGCAGCCAAGTTGCGTTCTCGTTTACAATCAAAAACATTTAGAAATTCTTTTTTTTTTTTTTTTAACTTCTTAGAAAGGCAAGCTGCTTTTGAAAGCAAATAAAATCCTTAATCATGTTACCAGATGCATTTATTTAGGAATATAATCATGCTGCTGTATCATGACTGTATTTCTGAAGAAAGTGCACAAGTGAATATTTCCTTTAAGCTTTCTGTTTAAAGTAGGATAAATACTTGGATTGTATTCTGGAGTGTATACTACCATGTGTACATAGCTCAGAAACACATAGTCCAAATAGGGGCCTTAAGAATAATCTTGCAAAAGCATTAGTCAGGTTTCTTGTTAAGTACCTGCAGATTTATTAGATATGGGAACTTTGCAAAGGTTGATACACCTTTCTATCTATACAAGTTTTGAATGATAAATATGATTTAGAATCCTATATTAAATTGAAACAATTTTGAAGTAAAGGGAATTGCATGTGTAATTTAAAATTAACTTTGCATACATTGTGCCTTGTGATTTTTTTTATGACTGTTTCTCTCTTTCATCATTTTTTCCTAATAAAGTGAATGAATTATAATAAAGAATAATTATGTAATAGCTTATTTCAGTTTGTTTAGATGTTAGGTGTCGGTAGGCAAACATTTCCAATTGAATTTGATTCTTTAAGTGATCTTTGATTATCATCACAACTTGATGTACTTGGGAAAGAAGCATATGAATTGTCATTGTGATAGATAATCAGATTGCTGCTATCTTCCTTCCATCTAATATATGTTTGTTCTTCTTTTTATACAGGTCATCCTTATAGAATTTTTACCAAAGACACCGATTTTTCGACCAGATTAACGTTTGATTTATTTATAGAGACTTATTCAAGTATGTTGTCTTTCCAATGGTGCCTTGCTTGGTGCTCTCCTGGTGGTGACATAGATTGGTTCTACCGAATCTTGTGGTGTTGTCATTATTTTTTTGTTTGTTTTGTTGGGTTTCTTTTTTTCTTTTTTTTTTTTCCTCCCCCTCCAAATAAGAGCATGTTCCAAGTGCATTTGGTCAAACTCAGCAAAGGAATTTCACACAAATGTTAACTACTACTTAAGTTATTGTTACTTTTACTACTTCTGTTTATTAATATATCTTGATTTTCAAAGAGTCTTTTATATGTGTGCGCGCGCGTGTGTACATATATATATTACTATAAATACACAGCTGAAAACGGTATACAAGCGAGCAGGTATTTTTTTATCCCAAAATAACACAACTGATTGACTGTACATTGTGTAAGTCCTTTTAACCATTCATTTACATGCTGAAATACCTTCTGAGATCTTCCTAAACTTTTGTCAGTGACTAGTCAATTGTAAATATTTTTATTTCTTTTTGGGATATTGGCTAGCCTCTTCCAACAAAAGAAGGAGATAAAGTTCTTTCTGAAACTGTGCTTTTTGGAACCCAAATGTCATTGCATTAGTAGAAATCTCTGTGCTTTTCATGAAGAAATCCAGTCAGCTGGTTCTGAAAGAGTTCTAATTTAAAGGTTTAAAAAAATAAAGCAGCAAACTAGAATTATTTCACTCAGACTAGAAGAACTGCTGAGAGACTCGCATGCATCTGTTTAGTAGAACTCAAGATCACAAAAGTATATTAGTGTTACAATTTATAATGTGGCTGTTTTAATTCAAGATAATGCCATGTATCAGCTTTGTTCTTACTGTTTACCAGATCCTGTACATGGGGGTGTAGGAGGACTTGTTTTCCTAGAAAATATCGTTCAAGAGGACCTTTTGGGTTTTTAGTTTTGTTTGTTTGTATTAAAGCCACATAAACAGAAAGAGGTTATTGAAGAAATCTTGAATAATACTGTTCCAGATGCAGATGCCATGTGTTAAAAATAAAGCAGGGTACACTGGGCAACAGTGTAAAGTTTAAATGTGTTAGATAATTATTTATTGCACCCTTGCTTCTGCTCATTTTGGTTTACAGATATTATTTTCTGCGTAAGTATAAGACTTTTTTTTAACTGGATATATGATGTATGCTTGGGTCAGGCCAGTTGTATTTTCATTTCTTCTACTTGTATCTTAGTTGTACATATCTTCACATATAGTTTGTTTTTTTTTAATTGCAACTCAGTCATGTTTTCTTGATTTCATTTAGGTATCTAAAATTACTGTACGTGAACATTAATGTAAGTTAAGAATATGTTCCTTGTACAGTTGTGGTAGCAAGCAATAATGTGAATATATGAAAAAACAGATATACCCTGCTTAATATTTGTATGAATGAAAAGTTGATACCACTACAAGAATAGTCTTCTCTTTTTAATCTTTTAAATACAAGTTTTATTTCAAGGTAATATATTACAAGTACCTTGATGCGGTGAACTATTTTTCTATGTCTTCAAAATATTTATTCTCTGTAAAATATTCTCTAGTGAGTATTATATTCCTGAATTGTTGATAGTGGGAGTGGTCTAGAAAGTTATAAGTTTCCTTAAATCTAAATCTTCTGTATCTGTTCCCAAAACTCACCCTTTGCTCAGCTTTTGTGTGTGAATTCCTGCTTTTTACTTTGAAAATAGCTCAGCTACACTTTTCATACAAGCCTACAAGTGTGTCTCTTTGAATTGATGGAATATGATTTTTAATTAACAAATGGCAGTTTTGTGCTGCCTTAGTCCTCTAGGTCCCACAACGGTTTCTCTCCAAAGTACCTGGTTATAATTATTAAAAGTCAATTTCAGCCTCTTCTTTAGGACAAACCTGGGTCTGCAGCACTCCTCCTTTCACCCAGAAATAATAGTTATGATCTCAGACCAGTTTCAGCCTGCGACAGAGGCCAGAAGCCTGACATTGATAGCTGTGCAGGTTGGAGGTGCAGGGGAGAGGTTGGAATTGAACAGAAGTGGTAACTGGTGATAAATACTGACCAGAAATACATGTTGATTTCTTCAAGTGTCAGTTTTCAATAAAGTAAATATTGAATTATACAAGGCCTAGATTTTATTATGAAAGTTATCAGTTGACTGTATAGAAAGGTTTGTGTCATGGATGCAGTTTTACGCTGGTAGTTCATTAGTGTGGAGGGATGTGGCTTGTGCTATGTTCGTAGCAGCACTGCGTTCAGTATGACCTGTTCACCTGGGTTTACTACCCAAGCTTGCCATAACGCATTCTGAGACACCACACTACCTTGCCAGCAGTATCCCTAAAAGACCTACAGTAAAGCTAATTTGAGCACGATGTGTACTGAAACCACAGCAGTGAATAGAGTGCAGCTTTCAGGTTTACAAAGTATGTTTCCTTTAGTAAAGCTTCCACATGAGCAGTAGTGCTGGGTAAGATCTTGTCTGCTTCTGGGTGCAGCTGCAGTTGTCTACTTATTTAGCAGGCATCTCTTTATTTTAACTATGACTTTCTGTAAGAATTCTAGTCCAAAGCAGAGTTCTGAGCAAGTAAGAAGTTAAATCCCTTAGTAAGGAGGCTGGAGTGATTGCCTCTTAAAGCATTTCTGGTATTCTATTAAGACAATGTCTCTGACTTAAAACACAACCAGGAAACTTGAGGAAGTGCGAGCATATATAGATGAGTTTTGCTCAAAAGTGTTACTCTCCTGATGAGGAAGTACACTCACCTAGTAAGAATGTTAAAAGACATTTTCATACAATCCCTTTAGATTCATTAATTACAATTACAGAAATTAAACTGTCAGGAACTTAAATCAACTATTTAATGCCTGCAGTAGTCATCGGGATTTTTCTTTGATGTTGTTTCTAAAATACTAAATCTATTTATTTTGTGTGTGAGTGAGAAGAAATAAAGAAATGTTACTACTTTTTTTTTTTTTTTTTTTTTTTTTTTTTTTTAATTGGTCCAGTTGGTAAAGAATAAAGTTGCAACAGTTTGAGCAGGACAGAAGCTACAGTAGGACTTCAGGACACATCTGGGAACATAACATAAATACTACATTGTAAGAACTTGTTCAGCTGCTTGCAACTTCGTAATTCCTACAAATAATCTTATTTCCAGTTTCCTTGAAAAGTAAGAGTTAGGTACCCACTTGGTATTAATCATTTAACAGATTATGCTAATTATGTCTGTTTTGCCTTTATCCTGAAAAACTAATGGTAAAGGCATCAATGACTCCCTGTGAAAGCTAATTGTTATTTTTAGATATAGTGGCCTTTAACTGGCCAGTAAAGATTTCTTTCTTACTTAAATATAATAGAACTAAATTATTTTTAATATTTCAGTGATAGGTAGGAGCAAGTCCTGAGGGAGAAAGGCTTTCTGTCTGACCCTACATGAAGAATTCTGTAGAGCTTATCTATAGTTAAATAGCTATGATTTGAAGTTTGGGATTGGCAAACTTCACCAGAAATCAAAATGTTTATGAAATAAGTTACATGAAGTAAGTACACTTTTTGTAATAGCTCAGTAAGAGTCATTTTAATAAACTATGTATGCAAATCCAAAACTTCCCACAATACTCAAAGCCAGGTAGATTGTAAAACTTTTTACAGTACTTAGAGGTAAATTGTAATATTTAAATCAATTTTTTAAATGATACATTTATATAAATCTCAAGACCACGGTGTTTAAATGTAAGGCTCTATCTCCGAGATACATGCTTACTTAAAAGTCAGTTTTCTTTTATTTTTTTTTTTTTCCTAGAAGTCATTATTTAGCCCTGAAGATTGTAGGGAAGAGGTTTAAAATGCAATCTGCAACTGCTCAGAAGCCAGAAGGCAAAAAAACCCCAACAACCCAACTTGTCTTTATTCCCTTCCCTCCACCCCCCCACCCTGAAGTCTTCATTTTAAATTGGTCCCCTTGTTTTGGGAGCCCTAGCTTATGTTTTTTGAGCAGCTGGCAATAATGCAAATTTTTCACCAAAAAACCCCATTTGAATTCTGAACAATTTAAAGAGATCACTTTAATTGAAGAGGCAAAAGACTTGTTAAGCAGAGAAAATCCCTGGTTCTTTTAAGTTCTCCCAGCACTGCTGTTGAGTAATTAAAAAGAAGGATCCTGATGACCCTACATTAGGTCAAAATCCAGATGATTTCATGTAAAGGAAATGCTCAATTAGAGAGGTCTCAGGGCCCAAAATGTCTTGGATTCATAGTAGCGACTTATTAAGGGTAAGTGGCCCTGGCTAGTTTTGTATCGGTGACTAAATTAATTTATGTTGCTCTTCAGCAATCTTGCTTATGAAAAGAAAGCATTTTAGAAGTAAGATTTGTATTCATCACCAGTCGTTTGCTGCAATTTCTGTGCTGCTTCTCCCTAAAGCCACGTTGCATTTCCATCACAAGCAGCTAAGTGTATGATCGTTATAATGCCTTTAATAGCCATATTGTAGGTAGAAATATTAACTTCTCAGGGACTAATAGGAAATAGGAAAATGGAGTTAAAGAGCTGAATGCCTATCTGCATGAAGGCTTACTTTGCAAACAGCACCCTAGAAACCTTCTGATTGTAATATGCATGACCATTATGAATGTTACCAATATACAGCTATGAGAGCTCCCTTTACCCTGTATGATTAGGCTGCTGAATGTCAAAGTATGTTGGATAAGGGTAAATGAAGTTTTTCTAATTTTTTTTTTAAATGACTTGGATAGAGTGATTATTTCTGATGGTGCTACCTTCTTAATTCCTGTGTTTATTCTTTGTAAAGTTCTCTTTGTAGGCTGGTTGAATCAGGGAATACTGGTGTAATGAGAAAACAGTATCTTTTTTTTTTTCTTAAGGAAGTGGAAAAAATTCAAGGGGAGAAGTACTTTAGAAGCAGAAAATTTCTCTGCTGAAAACATCATGCATTTATTCTTCATTAGTTACAGAAAT